CGCCATGACGGCTCTCATCTGGTTCTTCTCGCAGTGAGTGGATTAGACGAGGTACTAACACTTCTCAATCACGATAGTGACGGCAGAGTCGTCATGAACGCCAAGAATGATAGCGAAAAAGACGGCACTGTACGCATTGTTGCTGCAGTAGGCAGAAAGTTGGACGACGCAGTAGCAGCCTCCATGTACTATGCTCGCAAGCTCGTAATGGCATATGAAGCATCGACGGGGCAAATCAATGAAGAGGAGAAGGCTTTGGTTGACGACTTCAAACCGCAATGGCTAGAGAACTGGTACGACGGCTTGACGTACTGCACCTGGAACGGTCTTGGCCAAAAGCTCACCGAAGATAAGGTTTTCGATGCCTTGGAGTCACTTCGCAAGAACGAGATCAATATCAGTAATCTGATTATAGACGACAATTGGCAGTCACTCAACACTGAAGGCGGGGACCAGTTTAACAACGCTTGGATGGAGTTTGAAGCAACCAAAACTGGGTTTCCCCGTGGTCTGAAAGCAACAGTGAGCGACATCCGAGAGAAGTATAGTCACATCCGACACATCGCTGTTTGGCACGCGATCTTTGGATATTGGGGCGGTATAGCTCCCGAGGGGAAGATAGCCAAAGACTACAAGACCACCAAGGTACAACTGAAAGACGGTGTATCCGGCGGAAAAATCACCGTCGTAGCTGAGGAAGATGTAGACCGTTTCTACAAGGACTTCTACGAGTTCCTGTCCTCGTGCGGTATCGACTCCGTGAAAACAGACGCGCAATTCTTCCTCGATGAACTCCACGATGCAGACGACCGCCGCAAACTAATGAAGTCTTATCAGGACGCCTGGTCCATCGCCCAACTGCGCTCCTTTTCCGCCCGCGCAATATCCTGCATGTCACAAGCACCCCCTCTGATCTTTCACTCTCAACTTCCCTCCAACAAACCACGCATGCTACTTCGCAACTCGGACGACTTCTTCCCCGAAGTGCCCGCCAGCCACCCCTGGCACATATTCTGCAACGCCCACAACTCCATTATAACACAATACCTCAACATCCTCCCAGACTGGGACATGTTCCAAACAAGTCATGACTATGCTGCCTTCCATGCCGCTGCGCGTTGCGTATCGGGCGGACCGATTTACATTACCGACGTGCCCGGCCAACACGACATCGATCTCATCCACCAGATGACAGGAAAGACGCCCCGAGGGGACACCGTCATTCTACGTCCCCACAACGTAGGCAAGACAACACAAGCCTACAACGCCTATGATGATATGGTCCTCCTCAAAGTAACGACCTACGTCGGCATGGCACACACCGGCGTCTCGATCCTCGGTGTCTTCAACTGCACACCCAAGCCAGTCTCTGAACTCATTGCTCTGGACGCTTTCCCTGGTGCGGAAAAGGGTACGTACATCATTCGTTCGCATACTGACGGTCAGGTTACGGAACCGACCAGTGTGGCGACGAACAAGGCCTTTGTACACCTCGATTTGCCAATTAGGGGCTGGGAGATTCTCTCTGCGTATCCATTGCTGGATCTTGAACTCAAGAGGGCAGAAGATAGTGAGGCGAAAGGTCCGAGTAAGATTAGCGTGGCGAATCTGGGCATTGTGGGAAAGATGACGGGTGCGGCGGCGATAATTAGTGCAGATGCGTATGTGGATAGGAACTCAGGAAGACTGAGAGTTTGGACGAGTTGTAAGGTTTTGGGCACTTTCGGTGAGTTTCTGTTCTTTATCTCCATCCCTCTCTCTTCGCTATTGACATCCTGGCTAACAGTACACAGCACTTTACGTCTCGGATTTGCCCAAGCGCTCTATTGAGAACGACTTCTTCGCTGTGCTTTTCGGCCGCCCTGTCCCAGCTCACTGCGTCAGTGTTAGCAAGGAATGCGAGAATGTGCTTGAAATCGATACCGTTCGTGCGTGGAAAGAAACCGATTCAAAGGCTGGATGGAGTAACGAGGTTGTCGTTGAAGTTGTTATTCGATGAACATACGCTGGTTATGGAAAGAAATTGTGAAGAGGCTGAATAGTATGGAAAGAAGTCATCTCAAGCAAACACGAACAGCGTAGCGCAAAATCGCAATATAGAAGACAGAATCTTGCACTTTCAGGTATCTTGGATATGCATCAAACCCGCCGCAACGCCCTTGAACTATTGTGCTCAGAAAGTAGTACCAGAAGCTATGCACTTTTCCTCCTTGCCATCCCGTCTTGCAAAGAAAGGCGTCAGATCGTACATGGGCATTTCATGTCGTCTCCTAGAGTGTACCCAGTCCTTAACAGCAAGATAACGTAACGCTCATCATAACTTGACGCCCCAGACTCCACGTCCGCCGGCGACACCAACCCACTCGCCGCCTTGCCCTGTCAATGCGCTCTGAGGTGCCCAGCTAATGTTGCCGACTTCGTAGTCGCACCTCCAGCTGGCATAAGGTCCTTTCTGACCAACAGGTACATTCTGCGCACCTGCAGCCCCATTGGCGGAATGTGTAGTCGCTGGCTGTACGACTGGAGGCTGTGCTGAAGCATGTTCTCCGCTGATAGTCGCGCCATTGTTTGCATGAAGAAGATCCCATATGAGGACCAGTGAGTCGTCACCACCAGATGCGAGCATGCCTCTTCGTGACGGGTTCCACTCTATGCTGTTGACAGATGCAGAATGGCCGCGAAGCTCGAGGAGGGCCTGGCCCGGTTGTCGCACATCGAGGATGCGGATGAGGTTTGAGTCAGCGGCGAAGGTAGCAAGGAGATGTGAGTCATGTGGTGATGCGGCGAGCCGGAGGAGTGGAGGCGCATACGACATGGTCTGTTGGGCTTTGGTCGGAGACATGCGACCTGTTGGCGAGCCTGTAATCTGTTAATGATTGACGTGGAAAGTAAATAAACCAAGACTTACCCTTGTCTTTGTCATTGCCCTTGTCTGAAGGCTCGTAGATGATGGTGCTGTGCTCGAGACTGCGGAGATCGAACATGCGAACACTACCGTCGGCTCCACAACTGACAAAGACATCAACGCTACCTGCGCAGAAGCGTACATCGAAGACCTCCTTGTCGTGGGCAATCAATTGTGTCTTGGCGGTGAGGGAGGGTATGTCCCAAATAGTACAGGTCGTGTCTATGCTTGAGGTGATGATGAGCTTCGGCGACATGGTGTTCCAGTCGAGCGAGGTGAGGGGCGCAGTGTGTTCAGGGGTCTTTGAGTTGGAGAGAAGCGCGAGTGGTGTGAGCTTAGGGAGCTGTGGCTCGCGAGTGTTTACGGAGGATGAGCGGGTGATTGTGTTGCTCATGTTGTTGCCAGAGGCTTGAGGTAATGACCATAACCGCAGATGATCACCAGACGTTGCGAGGAGGTCGGTCGACTGCTTCTGCGAGGATGGCGGCTCCCACAGTATTCTCGTGACAGGGAAAGAACATGTGGCTTCAGCGATGGCATTGTATTCGAGGCCGTAGGGTGTGGCGCCGGGGACAGACGTGTCTTGGGGCGCTATTTGGGTGTCGAGAATGCGAATCTAGAAGTCGCGTCAGCATGGCGCATGTGAAAGTCAGTCTCGTACTCACGAAGTTGTGGTTGTCTTCGAGATAGCTGCCCACGGCCATCTTGCCGGCGCTGTTGCCGCCGGGGACGTTCCACTTGCACCAGTCGTAGGCGTATATGCTCCAGGGCGCAAGGTAGTTGCTGTTAGAGGGCACCTTGTTTCCGTCGGTGACCATGGTGTTGCCGTGTCCCATGCCGCCCTCCTGGTCCATGGTCGAGTTTGCGCGCGGCCTGATATCAGCCAGGCCCAGGGGCGATTGCGATGCAGCGCCAGAGGGAGTGGTAGGATAGTACTTTTGCGCAGGCGTGCCGGCGGCGTACTTGGACTGCTCGGGCGTGTTGGAAAAGGGAATGTATTTCTGGTCGGGCCCCAGGCCAGCTGGGCTCGAGCGCGAGTAGGAATGCGACCCTGAGTGGGGAGAGTGCTGTGCTTGGCTAATGGTGTTGGAGCGCGTGGGGAGCGTGTATTGCTGGGCGTTGCTCGCTATCTGGGTCTGGGTAGGCACGACGGGCGCGGTGTAAGCGGCGTTGGGTGCCGGTCGCTGCTGCTGTTGCTGCTGCTGCTGCTGTTGTGGCTGTTGTGATTGTTGTTGCGGCGGCTGTTGTTGTTGCTGTTGCTGCCCTGAACCGCCGGCGGGCTGGAGGCTACCGGGGACGGCCGGGGAGCCATACTGGCTGTTCTGAGGGGTTCCATGGTCGATGTTGATGTTGGGCGCCGATCGATAATTGTCGGGCGAGTTGTACATTGCCTGCTGCTGCGCCGGTACGGACGAGGGTACTGGGACATGCTGGCCTACCGCCGTCGATATGTGCAGCTCCTCGTTGGTGCGTCCGCCTGTAGTCGGGGCTCTATGTCGCGGGGCGTCGAAGCTCGAGTTGGCTGCTGGCGGCGCCGTCGAGGCCATGTAGCCTTCGCTCTGTCCTTGGGCATTCCCGCTGCTCTGCGGCATAAAGGCGTCGGTGCCGGCCCGCGTGGTGCCCTGGGTTGCTCCTCGCAGATTGCCTCCAGGCGCTCCTATGCCTAGTATCGCAGAACACACATCAGCCCAAGTTCAACGGTAGATGCCCCCAGAAGTGAGCCTACATACTCCCTAGCGCCGAAGCCGCTGCGAAGATGCCCTGCGCTGGGTCGTTCTGCGCATTGTGGTGGTGGTTTCCGAAGGGCATGGCGCCTGCAATTACTACTGCGCTGGTCCAGGCAGATAAAAGAGAGACTGTGGTTTGTCGCAGCGCGTAATCAATCGTCCAGGAGCTGGAAGTGCGGTTGGCGTCGACTTGCTGGGCAGCGGCGGCTCTATCTCGGTAAAAGTTCCCCACCACCCCTCCGAACCCTCCCTTCACGCCTACCCAGGGCTCAGAGTATATGTGATTCCAGCTCGCTTCCAGGCTATAGTTCATGACCCAGGGTCACAGTTTCTACCAACCGCAGCTTCCTTGACTAAATCTTACAGCCATGCCTCCATCACGCAAGCCTGTCCATCGTGCACTGCTGTTGCTGCCGCCTGCGCCCTCACCACCGTCATATGCTGCGCTCAAGGCCGCCTACAACTCACCCTTGTTCACTGTCTTGAGAGAGCTGGCCACATCCCCTCGCGTATCAAAAGAACCCACCGTTTTAGAAATTGCACTGCCATGCCCGCATCTGTACGGACATCTAGATGCGCCCCGGGGCGTACACTATGCGACTACTCAACAATTGGTCGCCGACCTCTACAAGCTCATCTGCATCACGGCTAGTAGAGAATCTATCGATACAGAAGACTCTGAGGGCGTTGATGCTCGCGTCATATTAGTCGCATATCCTCGGCATGGCCAATTGACGACGCCGCTGCCCGATTCAACTCCTGAGCAGGAACTCCAAGGGCCTGCTATCGATATCCATACGCTAGCCCGGAGTTCTCGGTCATGGGATACTATCTACTCGGTCGAGAGCGAGGAAGGGGAGCGCGTACTAAAAAGCTTTCTTTCTTTATCCCAAACTCAGACACCCATATCTAAAGTTCGCGGTGGCATTGTCAGTGTAGAAAGCCCAGAATCATCATCGTCTACCGGTAACTCAGACAACTCAATCAACCACATGTCCGTTGCCGTCGGAGGCACTTTTGATCACCTCCACATTGGTCACAAACTACTGCTCACCATGTTTGCCTTCATGTTGGGAAGACGACAAGCATCTCCTTCTGACACAACTCCCAGCGTGCTTACCGTTGGAATTACCGGAGATGCTCTGCTAGTAAATAAAAAGTTTGCAGAGCACCTCGAGAGCTGGAAAGAGCGTCAAGAATCGACACACAACTTCCTCTCATCTATCGTCTACTTTGGCCCCCCAGGCGACGAGCGTATCCACGTTGAAGAGATCAAGGAACCCGGGCCGAACGGACATGCCGTCCACGTCAGCTATCCTTTTGGGCTCACTATCAAATACGTCGAGATCTGGGATCCTTTCGGCCCAACCATCACTGACAAAGAAATTTCTGCCCTGGTGCTCTCTCTTGAAACAAGGGGCGGAGGTGCTGCTGTGAACAACAAGCGCAGTGAGCAGGGATGGAATCCCCTCGATATTTTTGAAGTTGCCGTCCTCGATGCCAGCGAGGAAGGCAATGTAGACGAGACGTTCCAGAGCAAGCTGAGCAGCACCGAGATTCGTCGTAAACGGAGCGAACGTGTTCAATCCAGGGCGAAAGCGTGAACCATGTTAATCAGGGTCTGAGCAGGGAGACGAAAGAGACACGTCTCGGAGTGTTTGTTGGCAGACAGTATGTGAGCAGAGGCGTTGTCGACTTACCATGTCGACAAGTTGACGAAGCAGGAGGTTGTCTAGTGTCATTTCTTGTGCGACATTGCACGACAGTTGCGTGCGCCAAAGCCACACGACCGCGCAGGTCCGCATGACATTACCAGGGCCGGCATAGGGCTTGTGAAGCAACACGTCGCCATAGTCGACAGTCTGAATGCATTAGAGCGTCATCATGTGCGAGCTGACTTACGGATGTAGACTCTCCGTAACGAATGTCTTTGACGCATGCGAAACAGGAGAGAATGACGCGCTTCTACAGCATAATTATATTGCACTCTTGACCACCCGTTTCAGCCCACTATGAGGCTCCCAAGCTCTGTGTCGTCATAAGACGCTCCATTGTTTCGCATAGCGCAAACGCCATCCCAAGTACACGGCAGTGGTATCGGTCGGATGACGCTTTTTCTGCGGCTGATTGGCGTCACAAGCGCTTCTGATGCATGCTGTGTTGGCAACGCCATGGAAATTTGCAGCCCCACCCCAGTGACTTCTATCACATGACCGAGTTTACGATGCGGACGCCCGCCATCAGCGAGACGGGAACATGGCTCCTCCCGAGCTAAAAGAGTCGATTTGTCGCTATGGACTACTGCAGCACACTATTCCTGTTGCAGTCTAATTCACCGCGTGCCATTGGAGATTTTGAAGCGGGCGTACCGGGATTGTCGCTGCAAGGCCAGGCTTCGTGTCCAGTCGTCTTCGCAACTCCAGCGACGCTTAGCTGACTGCTGGCAAAGAGGTCATGCATTTCTTCCCCCTACCGCGCCCCTCTGGCTGTCCTTCGCTTGCTATCCCACAGAACGGTGCCGTCGGATAACACCACGTCGTCAGTTGATGACCCTCTCCCGCTGTCGCTATCCAACTACCACCACCCGTCAGACGAGTATCCCGACCCGGCCCGAACTCTGCTGCCCTGCATCCAAAGTATATCCGCTGTGCGGTGCGCTCCTAAATCGCTTGGGAGCTTAAGCTTCGTGGTTGAGCTCCTCCTCCGCGGTCGTCATGAATGGTCCCACTTAAAATGGGTATCCTCGATCTTGCCGACGAGCTTCTTCGCATCATCCTCGAATATGTTGCCTCTGAACCAGAAAAACCAATCAGCCTGGAGCGCCGTGCCTATCTCTCACAGGAGAGCTTTAAGCTACCTCTGCCTCTAGAGCCTGACGACGCCGACACCGTTGCGAAATTTCGCCTCACATGCAGAAAGTTCGCCTTGCTCGGGGTGATTCATCAGGTTAAGTTGTGCCTGTACGAAATGCATGAGAGACGTACACTGACTTCGTATCTTCACGTCTGCAGTTCTCTCGCGTTACCACACGCTTCTCGCGGAAAGGACTTGAACGCCTAGAGAAGATTGCAAATCAGCCGCACATTGCGGGCCGCGTGAAGAAGTTCAGTTACATGGTACCGTTCTTTTATGATCAAGGTATCATCACAGATCCTGCTTCTGCCATCTTTGAAACTGACCAAGTTACAGGACGAGAGCGCATTCAGGAGCTTTTACGCACACGGCCTGAGAGTTTCGGCTTCCTTGATGTCGGTCACTTTCAAGAAAAAGTAAACGAGCAAAGGGACATCCTACGGACAAGAAAAGATGCTCGTATTTTGCACTTTGCGCTCCGGCGATTCACTTCACTCCAGCATGTTCAAATCCTGCGACTGCAGGACCAGCAAGATGCGGTGTTGATTTCGTATATGCGGGGTCACAACGAACTGAACAGTCTAGTGCCGACATGGCCACCAGCATGCCTGCATAGCGCGAAAACGATCGGTCAAGCTCTCCTTGAGTCCGAATCACCATGCTCAAGGTTCTCATCACCCATGTTAAGTCCTCAGAGTGTTCTAGGTGCCGCCAATAATCCTCCCTCAACGTTGGGAATTCTGGCCGAACGCCTCACTTGTCTAGAGTTACATTTCGATGATAGCACGGACCTGGACGTACGGATGCGGCATCTATCCTCATTGTCCAAGGCACTATTCACTGCGGCTAAGAACATCGAAGCAGTGCATATTGGTTTCCCTTCATATCGGCCACTCACGTTACGACTAGAAGAGCTTTTCCACAATGTCAAATGGGAAAAGTTGCAGGGTATGTTTTGAAGGTATGAGACGCACTGCGACATAGACTAACTTTATCTCGCAGCCTTTGGAATCCAAGCCTGGCGTCTTAACGCAGATGAAATCCTGGGTATCGCTCAGCGACACAAAGACACACTGCGTGGTTTGCGCCTTCGAGATGTGCTCTTAAAAGATGGCAGTATGTGGAGGGATGTGCTCCCCTGTCTACGTGACGACCTCACAAGACTCGACTGGGTCAGTCTCCGGCGAATCGGATACGAAAAACACTTCGACGAGCAGTTTGTCATGGGAGCCGAAGTCCCCGATGATCCTCTAGGAAGTGATAGCAGCGACGAAAGCGACGATGACAGCCACTACGAATACGATGGTGAACACGACGATCCATCCGATGACCACAGTGGTAGTGGAAATGATGCTGACGGTAGCTCGATAGCTGGCACCGAATCCGATGCAGAGACGGATGAGCCTGAACAAGGCGGTACTCTGCACTTTCCACCAATGCCAGACACACCGGCTTCAATAACATGGTGCAACTGCAATGGCCACATGGATAGCGTGGACGCTCTAGGGGATGATGGAGTCATGGTCACCAATCAGCAACGCAAATTCTGGGAGAAGTGGGTCGTGAGGAAGATCTGCACCGAGCAGCATGGTCATAAATGAGCGACCATCAGTCCGTCAGATATGGAAAGCCATGCGCATAGTGTTGTTGGTGGTGACCTGGGCGTAAGAAGCAATTTACTATCGAACCGGTTGTAGCTTGTCTGCAGGTGCGATCACGTTCTAGGTCCCGCATGCGGTCCATGAACCGCATATGCGTGTTCGCAGCAGCCACAGCACTACTCGGGCGCTTATGCAAACCCAACAACCCGTCACCAGGTCACATCAACGATTCGGTACGAACGCGCACTGCGCCGCAGAGTCGCACTTTTCATGTGGACCTGACCAGACGACCCCACGCATCCGCATCCTCCAAACACTCGGACCGATAGACGACAACGTCTTCAAACATCCATTTTCTTGGTTGTTCCTACTTCATGGATATCTATCGAAGCATTGCGCAGGCGCTCCTGGCTCTTTGCGTACCATATCTTCTCGAAGGGCGGACTGTTCACATCTATGCTTCGTCTCTGACGCCAAAAGTTATGCGCTTGCATCCTATTTCACTTTTCAACATCTCAACCCTGAGTAACGAATGTAACGTAGCGTGGGAAGGTATCTGCTTTTCATCTCATCAGTCCGATTAGACACATCATCTTTCTTTTCCAATCTATCGCCCTTCTCCTCAACGATGTCATCACGAAGCTCAAGGTGGGACACACTCGGAGGCTGTCTGTAATCAGTCCGACTTTTACATGTTAAATACGGCTACTAGGCTTCACTGTTTTATCTGTTCCTATCAAATTTTACTCCTCCGTACAGTCTGGTAAAGTCAAGACAGTAGCATGGGCAGTAAGACAACTGTCGATAGAGCTAGTCTATCTCACTTCACACTCTAACCTTCCTCTTTCCTTCTCTACATAATTCAAACAATTATACTAGTAAGGCTGCTTTATTTCCAGTCAGCAGCTTTGTTTATCGTACTGGAAAGTGAGAGCGTCAGGAACAGCATGCTGGCGAACTTCATCACTAACAACTTCGGCAGAGCGATGGAACTTCACCGCCAATTAAACCCTCAACTTATATCTCAGGTGCCTTCCATGACACCACCTAGACGCCATGATCACTAGGTATAAGATCAACTACCTCTACTGCGCAGTCACTGCCTTGACCCAAATGAACACCCTGACTCATTGTCCTAGACAGTTTGACATAAGAAGCCTCCTCTGTTCCCTCACCACACGTAACGCGCTCATGACACGTCAGACGCGTTCTCACACGTCTTCTTGGCGTGCCAACATGATGGTAACAGTTCAACGCGCCTTGATTTGGCTGTCTGATCCACGAAAACTCTTCAAGCAGATTTTTACTTACTTACTTACTTACTTACTTATTTACTTACAACATCGTAATGACAAGACATACCTGGACGGTTGCAGATGCCGGCGTGATGCTATGGGAGCCGGCCGTAGATGCTGCGACAGCTACGGTACTGCAAGAAGCGCATGCTCTGGAGCAATCAGACAACGTGGCAGAAACTGATGATCAAGGTAAGTGGTCACCAATTATGCTTGCCCATAGTGTTACAGGGCAAGGGCTAACAGCCTGCGAGTAACGTTAGCTAGCAGTCACGATGACTGCGAAGTCAGCAACGAGCAAGACTTGGTGCTACCTTCTCTCGAAGGCTTCTTCGGATCGTATACAAAGGATGAGCCTGGCGAAGATCTTAGATCAGAAACTCCTCTGGACACGTCACAGTACGCATCAGGGACTACCGAGTCGTTCTCAAGTCCCTGCCCACTATTTTCAAGCAAAGTTGCCTCTACTAAGCTACACAATTCTTCGAAGACAAGCCGTCATCTCGAAGTTTCCAATATTGAACGAACGCCACCGGTACGTCGAACTCTCAACTTCGAGATGGCAAACGTCCGTAAGACACTCGATACCAGTGGGTTTGGTTCGTTAGCAGCATTGAAGAACCTCGAACGTGACCCGCCTCATCAATGGGATGAAGACGAGCGGGCACTGCTGGCGATCCTTTACCGATGGTACAATGACAAAGACACAACGACACTTCCAAGGGTTTTCAATGCTATTACCGACCAAGATCTGCGACTTTCAGTTATTCGCCATCAGTTCGACAGCCACCTGATCTTATACGGTCCACGTGCTTACCCGGAATTCGGTCGCGTTACGGCCGTTCCTTTCAACGATCCTGAGCAGAAGTACGGCGAGATTCGTGCGATCATCGAAGAAAAGGCGGCCGAGTATGGCATTAACTCGTCGCGGCGGAGAATCGAGGTCAAACGAAAGTCCGGTTTAGCTCAATACGCGAGATCTCTAACTACAAGGAAGTACTTCAAGTCTCTAGTTCGGCGCGCGGCAGAGAGGGAGAGGAAGAGGTCTCACGCACCTCCAGCGCCAAATGCCCAAGAATTGTCAACACAGGTTTCTCCGCTTGGAGGAGTTACTCTGGCAACGAACGTCGATTGTGAAGACGAAGAAAGATGGTACGACGTCGAGGACATTCGCAGATCCCCAGTCACATACACGCAGCCGAGCTCTAGACCGTTGCCTACCACCAACTCTATTGGCTTCAGGGTATGGGATGCAAACAGCAGGACGTTGTTCGATGAAGAGAGTGGTTTCGTGAGCCAAGCGTTCTCAACATGGCCGGTTAAGTATCCACCGCCTTTCCCCCCTGATGGTCTAGGACTACAGGCGCTGATGATTTTCTCAACTTGGCATCTTTCAATGAGCGGTGGCGCATCCCCGTTTGTATCTGTCTCCACTAGTCTCCTACAGGCACTGGTGAAGGCTTCTACAATGGAAGATCCCAGGATTGCTATCAGTATGTCTCATTCACAAATAAACTCGTTGATTCTGGCTAATTATTAATCTTACATATAGTCGCTCTTGATCACCCTTTGCTCCAAGAGCCCAACAAAACCTTGCCGGCGGCAAACATTATGCGAATGCTGAAAGCAGCAGGGCTAGCTTCGTGGGCAAGGTACAAAGGACTTGCAGGTAATACAATAATACGCAATATATGCTGTGTTTATACTAAGATTCGTCAGAACGGATGGTATGGGCTTCTATACCTATTGCAGCTCTTATCTCGCACTTCCCGATCGAGGAACTACGCCAACTCTGCAATCAAGAACAAACATGCGCAGACATGCTAAGTTTTGACAAGATACAACCTGGCAGCAAAACACAACATGTCTCCTCGCGATTACGGGACAAGAATAATATGATAAGTGTTAGCATGTCACGAGCTATGGCTTTGGTATCACGGGCGTTTGGCATGCATCGCAATAATAAAAGCTTAGCTCATATTCAAGGACTCGTATCGTCCCTGGTAGACTCGTTCCAGCTAAAACAAGTCTTATCAGAAAGCCACTACACGTCAAGCATCATCGCTAGAGCGTTCGCTATAACGCTTAGATCACAGGCTCATTCGGTCCAGGACATTGAGCTTGCGTTCAGGGATGGCGTTCAGCGAGGGACAGATACCATCGCCTTCTACGCCCGCCGCCTGAAGAAGCGCTATAAAGATATGACTTTCTCAGCCGTATAAGAGATACAGTGGACTGTATCATTGCAATCGCTACGACAAGACGAAGAGTGTTAAGAAGTGCATTGCGTGTAGGAAACTTGATAGTATGTGGTAGAGCATAGATATATAGGAAAGCACCCAAAGGTCTCCAAAAACTGACATTTTCCCGTCGTTGCGTTATCTGCCTGGAAGCGTGTGCGCTTGAAGCACCCCAGAACGAATTCATGCGCCTACAATATCACGAGATAAGGCGAATCCAGACCGCAGGTTTACTACACGACAGATCAAGTAACTACCGTGCAGTTTTCCTGTCGGTCAAAACTTTTGCTTGGACACCTACCCGCTAGCAGGCCTTCTTGCCTCCCCCAACAAGCCGTCAGATGACTCGTTACCCCCGTCGCTCTCACCGCCATTCGTTTCAACACAATGTGTCTGCTCTGCCTGTATCGCGCGCTCTCGACTAAGCACATGCTGCATCGTCATCATCGATGCTAAGACTCGCAACTGAGTCAACCAGGGTAGTCCCACTTAGCGACACGCTGCGCGACGACCGCGTGGAAGAGTCAGGTGTTGTCGATTCCACGACACGCGCGGTATACGTGCTCGGATGGATAATCTGAGTAGCTGTCGCGTATCTGTTCGTCCTGTTCTCACCGTTTTGCCGGCTGTCCGCACGTTGCCGAAGATGGAATTCATGGCCTTCCTTCCCATGGATGCGCAGAACTGGACCTTCAGGTGTGTTCACTACGTTACCCCAATCTCCAATGGCTTCATTGAGCTCGGGCGTAGAGAGGCGAGGACGGGGACGGATATCTTCTGCGCGTGCAGTAACACGCTCGGCAGATTCATCATGGGTAGAAGACGCAGGTGGGTAATCGTGGATGACAATTGGCTGATAGTTAATGGTGAGGGTTGGTTGATATTCAATGGAGGAGGGCGTTCCAGTATGTTCATAGATGAAAACCGGTCGAAGACGTAGAGAGAAGCCGTTTTCTTCATTCCAAACATGGAGTACTAGTTGCGGAAGGATATCTGCTATACCATTCATAGGCGAAGGTTCATGCTCAGGGCTGGGCGGTAACTCTGTAGCAGACGCCGTCTCAAGTGCGTCGTCATCGTCCAGCAAGGAGCCAGATCCACCGCGTATACCTACCATCGGCATACTATTTCTGAGATCGCTCTGCAGCCTCCTCGTCCTTTTCTTCTCGTGAATGACCACTCTTCTTAGATCCCTAATGTGTTCAACTATCTCCGGTATGATATCCCAAAGTTCCTCGAGGTTCTCCACACGAGCTCTCGTTCCTGGTTGTGCTCTTGGGGGTAGAAAGTATGTTGCTAGCGAGAAGAGAAAGGATAGTATCGCGAGAGTAGGAAAGGTGACTATTAGCAGAATGATAAAAGTGCCACTGTTCATGTAGTATGCCTGATGTTACCGTTGTTGTTAGGAAGATAGAGTTGAGGGCAAGTACATAGATTAGGGCTTTTAGGGATAAGAAAGCTTACTGTGATACATGTTTTGTGACACGTTCGGCTTACAAAACCCTTGGAATCCCAATCTTGAATAAAGCCTACAATTGTTACTTACTGTTCTCCATGTGCGACTCTGATAGCATTTCATTCACAAGGTGATGTGAAGATACCCTGACGTTATGAGATTCGGTATCGATTGTCCTGCAATTCTCGCCTCTTTGTATATTTCACTACTCTCTAAGATCTGTGGCACACGGCGTTCATAGTCAGTAGCCCGTCAATAGTTTGTGCGTCCAAGTTGATAATTATATTACTTGTGAAGTGGTATAGAACAGTATGTACAAAAGGTGTTTGGTTATCCTTCGAGTGTAGAGGATATTTAACCAGAGGCAGTAATGACCATGGTGTAAGCGTTGGTCTGCTGGCAGACAAAGTCGTTGATACCGTTACCACCAGCGTGGCAGTAGGTGGGAACTTCGCCCTCACCCCAGAAGCCGAAACTATTCAAATTCGTTAGCTTGTTGTTCATGAAGGTAGATGCTCGGAATACGTACGCAGTGCCAAGCTCGTGGTAGACGCGGATAGCGAAGGTGTCGGTGCTGTTCTCAGGCTGGTACATGCCGAAGCGGTACTTGGAGTCACCGCAAGTCTCAACCTCAGCAGGAAGGACAGGGTAAGGACCACCAGAGCACTCGAGGTCGGTGGCGTTCTTGCCGGTGAGCTTGAACGAAACGGACTGGATAGTGCCGTTGTTCTTGCGGAGGGTGTAGTCGGTGAAGTCGATGTTCTCGTAAGTGTTTGGGTCTGGTGGGCCACCACCGCAGTGAGCTGGGTTGGGGCACTCGGGGGTCTGAGGAGCGGGTGCTGCCATGGCGGCGGCACCGAAGAGGGCGGCGAGAGTGAAGAACTGCATGATATCGGGTTTGGAGTTTGTTGGTGTTTTTGGTTGGAATGAGCTTGTTTGAGTTTGGTTGGAGTGTGTGTAGTTGAAGTAGGGAAGGATGAGGCCGTACTTATATCTCTGTGAAGATCTTCATAACCATTTCAACGTCACTTGGCCCTAACACTCGACCAACGTCCATCCAAGCTCATGTATTCGGTCATACCTCGTATTCCACAGTCGGCTGGGTCGCACGCAGGCAATGATGTCGCCTCCCCGGACGGACGTGGGCCGACGTGGGTACAAATCTCCGAGTCTAGCAGTTAGACCCTTGACCGCTAGCATTTTTCTGGGATCTAAGTGGCAGTGATCGTCGAACAACAAGGTACGCACCTCGTATGTTGTGGTTGCGCATTTTGTGATGTTATCGCAGCTTGATGCATTGTTCTGCATTTCAGTGATTCATCCGCTTTGGTTGCAACAACTATGGTGGCATAGTCCGAATACGACAAGAGCATTCAACCGCTCCTGTGAACAGCCACCACGTTGACGTCGACACTGCTTGGCACAAGTGGTTCCATGAACGCCTGCGAGCGGTGCCATTTTTGGTGACTGCAAGGCTGCGCAGCCTCAAATCGTGACATGCAGGGTGCCAGAGCCGCACGCCACATCCGCCAACGCCACAGACTGTGATGTAGCGTAGCAGTCGATGTAACGTGAACGTGCGTCCCAACCAACGGGCAGGTCAGCTGTGTGCATTCGCACTCGCAAACAGGATGGATCGGATCTTGCAAGGCGCGAGCGGATAGGCCCGGCCAAAAATAGCAGCAAACGCGTTGCGCCTAGCGACGATATGCATGTCCGCGAAAGAAACACCTCATGTGTTTCGCATTAGGTGGTGTCTGTGGAGCGCATGTTTGTTGAGGCTTTCGATAGTGCGACAAGCTTGCGGGCCCCTAGTGGAAAATCGGCATGATGTCATTGGGTCCTCTGCAAGACTCGAATCTTCGGTGTCAATGCCCATGGGAAAGCCACCGAGCATGTGGAAACATACGCGTGGAATGTTCCATTGCTTTGTTGGCACCCGTTACCGCCGTTCTAGAATGGAGTGTCTTGCACAGCACTTCTATCAACGTGATTGTTGGTAGGGATGGGACTTTGTGCAGCTGTGAAGATGTCAGGTGTGTCCCAAGTACAAATTCGCACTTTGCAGGGACGCAGTCTAGTATAGCCGTTTGCAATCGCTACCGCACAATTTGCACCGCTATTGCGCAACTGGAAGAGAGCTCACCAGGAGACATGAACGCCAGTACAAGTGCATTGCCCGATAAGGCTGCAATACAGCGAGCTTCGAAAAGTAGCACCGGAGCAATCACTGGTGATCGTAATTTCGTATACGATGATAACGCTCCTTCCTCGCAGGAGTCATCGACTTCTTTCAACAGCCTCGCGGAAGACTTTCTCTACGAGATTGAGGGATCTATCTGCGCTAGCCCTGTTGACTCCAGTATTACTTTGAGCAGCATCGAGCTCGACAGTGTCGACATAAGGGACGTCGTTGTCCAGGCTAATAGTGTAGAGTGGTTAGTTCGGATATGTTTCTGCGACAGCGCTAGCTGTTGCGGAAAGACTGTTGCACGATTGGAGAGCGGGGATAGGAACCTAGTGAGGAAGTCGGCATGGCGAAAACGTGTATATGCGAAAGATCATGTGGAAGATGTTGAGGAAGATTGTATCGTTCAGTCGTGATATAACTACTATACTCCTAAAATGAGAGGTGGATACCTGAACGCTTGAAAGGGTATATAACATGCTTGTTTTGTACGCCGGAACACCATGCATGAGAATCGCTGTAGCAGAAAGATAAAAGGAAAACCAGAAAACAGTACAGAGTGGCTATTATCCGACGATCAGTGTCGCCATAGAGTAGAAAGCCTGCGCTCTCTCTTAACGCCGCGATCTTCGTCGTTACGAGGACCAATGCGCGCAAAGGATGCCTTGAGTACTGTAGGCATCTTAACAATAGAAGATGGAGTAGATCCGCTGGAAGACACGGTCTTTGATCGCGCTCTTTGTTGTGTGAGAGTGGCTTTGTACTGTTCCCAGTAGCCACTTGGAGTCGTGGTTGTAGACGATGGAGTTGCTGAGCCTTGCTTAGACGAAGTGTCTAGGGTGGATGGAGTAGAAATGCTTCGAGGAAGAGAAGGCCTCCTCTCAGCAATGAGAGAACGTGCCTGTTCAGTGGCGACAGCATGCTGTGTATCTGGGAAAAGCTTCAAGCTAGATCTTCTGGCCGGCACTGATGGAGTAGAAACAGCCATGCCAATCATCATATTGCCATTAGAATGTTCATGGACATCGTAAGTGATTTCTGGCTCTGCTTTTCCGAAGCCAAACTCAAAGTCGGTTTGTGGAGATTGTTGTCGTAGTAGGGGGTGTATTTCGCTTTGTGGCAGGGTTGGTGCCGTGGCTCTGGGTGTCTCAAAAGACACAAGCCCGCCTAGAAGCCCACTCTCTTCTGCGGGGCTAACCTTATGAACGGGGCCTTCTCCCGATGTACTCGACTTAGATGAGGCGGCACTTGCGGCACCTTCACTCCACAGTGAGCTTGCTGTAGAGCTTGTACTATCTGATCGGCTGGGTGGCTCCCCAGTGGCTTTTGAGAAAGTTGGAAACGTAGCACGCTCAAGCTGTACGGAATCAAGTAGGGGCGTACGGGGGCGTGTGGCCGTGCTACCTGTAGAGGTCTGCCTGCTACGGGAAGCAGAAGGCGACGGCGATCTGAGCCATGAGGTTTCGGGATTAGCTCCACTGTCGGCTGTGGGTGTCGTCGAGTGCTCTGAGTATACAGATTCCGAGTAAGTGGACGACACCTGACGAGAACTAGCTTGCGAGACTGACGCTGTGTCTTTCGATCGATCTCCAAATTCTTGATTCATGCCAACAGATCTTCGTATGGGTGTCGAGAGACTATTCCTTCGCGAACCTCGAGCTGATAATGATCGCCGTGCGAACGAGCGAACCGAAGACGAGCGAAGGGGTTGAGATATCTTAAGTGGTGCGACTTCCATGGATCCACGCCGACTTAGATTTCGCGGCGTGAAGTAATCCTCCCTTTGGCAGTCGGGCTCTATCGAGTAGGGGCTGCTTTGAGATTCCGCAAGATAGTCGTCGATGGCCAACGGTACATTGACCGAGGGTGTGGCCAAAGGGGTCGTAGCACCGCTGTTGGTAGTCGAAGCGATGGGCTCCGCGACGTAACACAGAGCGTATTCTGGGCTTTCCGAATCGCGAACCTCTTTCGGTGCGCGAAGAGCGGACACCAGATATTGCAGTGTCCCGTAGATTACAAGCCATCTTACTTTACGCGCATCTGTCGATGATATCTTCCCCTCACGTTGACTAGCATTGATAGCGTGTGCCTTCTCGAAATGGATATAGGCCTGTACAATGCTCGATTCCATCGCGCTCGAATCCAAGGTATTGGTTGCCGCTGCCAAAGCACCATGCATGGTATCTTGTAGATGTGACTTGTTGTGTTGCGATGCCAGGATGAGCTGCCTCAAAGCTTTCTGCGAGTTCGTTTTCTGAGAGTTTGTTCTCTTCGGCGACGATGCATATACTGGTAGGAGAGGTAAAGGATGGGGCTGGGACTTAAATCCATGTCGTTGGTCGAAGGTCATAACGTTCTGTAAGACGCAGATGCCGCCGCTAGCAGGTCTTTGAGATGAAAAATCGGCGGTCGACTCGGTGTCTACGAGGTAGTCGTAGAGATTCTGAAAATCGTAATACATTGACTTGTAAAGCGCTTTAGGAAAGGTAGCGCCCCGTGGTGGTGGCCAATATCCAAACTTTCCGACGTAAAAGGTATGTAAGAAACGGCGAAAGCGATCAAGGTGGCTTCTGGCGCCATCTGTCAGCCCAAGATAAGTTGGGGAGAGGTCCTCTTGCAGGAACCTGCTCAGTGCGATCGATACGCGGCCGAGGTGCCCATCGACTTCGAGATGAGCTCGGGTAATCAGTGCTTTCGTGAGCTTCGAAGTCAGCTATAAGAATGTGTTAGAAAGTTATCCTCGATCAGATGATAGAATACATACCACATATTCCGGGCTGAGGACAAGGCTTTCACTCATACCAACACAGTGGGCGAAAGCATCAACCCAGGTATCTCTAAGCTTATAGTGTTCTGCATAGAAGAGACTTGCAAGGGCATAGTCTGTGCACTCTACCAGATCTCGGTACCCTTGGTTTTCTGCGTAGTCGAGAAAGTCTTGATGGTTGTTCGCATGGCTTGGTCGGAAGTGCTGCAACCGTTCTTGGAGGTCTACAAATGCTTGGCCCATATGATCGCCGACCAGTGGTTTACCTAGCAGGAACGCAAAGAAGTTGCGAGTTGTAATGTGCTGCCTGAAAGAGTCCTGGGATGAATCTTCTGAAGCAGGGATGAAAAGCTCGACGACGTTTGATTCCCGATTGGTGTTGTTGAGGGAGCTGGGCATTCGCCTCAATCGCTGTGAGGCAGATCCTGGCGCAGGTGCGATTTGGGCGTCGCATAAATTCAACATGGCGTCACACTTCTTCTGCCGTAACAGTCTGAAGGGAACGCAAAAGGACGGCCCACGACGCGAGGCCCCTTTTGCGTGTAGGTGGACGAAACAATCTCCTCCTTCATACCACAACTCAGGGTCCTTTCTTGCTGTTAGCCTAGCTTCAATGACGAAGTGCTCAAACATACTCTGCGTAGTCCATGATCCCAGTCGCTCACAGTACGGGTCAAGCCGACCCATCGTTGTACTTTGGTAGGATGCATCGGCTTGGATGTTGTCGCAAGGCAAGTGGCCGACCTTGGTCGCGTTTCGATGGTCTTAAGACGTCTCGTGTGGTTGTTGGTCTCCAGTAATGTAGAGGCAACGCGATCGCCAATCGTTAAGGTATGACGTCGAGTTGTAGGTAGGCTGGTGTGGTGAGGTAGTGTAGATCCGCTTGTCGGTGCCGCGGAGACTACTTGATTCAAGGTCCTAGGGTCATCCATACGAAGGTTGCAAGAAGTGAACGAAATGCGCGTGGGAATCAGTTGTTGATGAGGCTCCTCCACAGAGCTAGTCTGACAAGACGGGTTGTCTTCCGAAGCCATGCTGATCTAAATAAGAGTGTGCATGAGTACCACAGAATGAGAAGCTCATGGAGCACGGGCAGGGATTCCTGGTCTGCCGTGTTGAAATCAAAACTAAGCAGAAGTCTGTCGCGGTGGGACGTGGGACAAAGCAACTATTGTATGTACGTCGACAGACCCTTGTTGCGCCTTCACCTATCTCGACAGCTAAGACGCGACGCAGTTCGGTCCATGATGGCGTCTTTTGGTTGGTGAGGCTACGTCTGGCGGATCCGGTAGAACGAATTGGTGAGACGATCTTTCCCAGATGAGGGATCGGCAGTCAGTGGCTTGCGCGGGCTACTTCCATAGCGCCAAATATGTAGCTGTCGGGGATTCGTTCTACGATCCAGATCGTACCATCATGGTGATGAGTTGTGTTCGAGACCTAAGAATTTGCATTCAGTGCTCAGCCGCAAGTTGCCAACGCTTAGAGCTGAGATACATCCCAGCCTAAAGCTCACAAGCCTCAGTACGGCAAAGCGCATGCGGGGAAATAGCTACTCTAAGAATTTGGCAAGATTGCAGGGTAAGTGGCACGGCATTGGGCGTCTCCGGGCTTTTTTTGGCGATCTCGCCAGCTGAGGGGTGGCGTCGCTCTGAGCATAGCAAAGACAGCTCACCCATCGCCGACCGACTCGTCACAGGGATCTGCCAACATGAATGCGTAATGTCGGAGGGTGTGGGGATCAGATATCGCGTTCGACATGTACGAGGGTGTGGTTCATGCTATCGTGCAAAAACCAACGAATAACACGACTCTCTCGAGAGGTTGGGTGGGGACGCCGTGGCGGCCGCCATGATCGCCGGCCAAGGGTGCTCGGCTCTCCTCATTGCGCTGGCATCATACTGTACGTCCATACATCACCAAAACTCGGCCCACAAGCCCTCTGTTCATGCTCGCCTATCGATCTGCCGCGATATCTCATTCCTCGTCGTTCTACAGGTGCCCAAGCAGCCCGAGGTCGACGTATGCTTGCGTTCCCCAAACCGCTAAACCTTATACACTACTTTCCACTGCCCGTCAAGGGTCTACATGCTCTTCTTGCTATGCAACAAATATCTTGCACTTTGCAGTAGACAATCAAACTCTGGATCATCTGTCGCTGATTGCGAAACAGAGTACCTAGAACACGGCATCGGCGTATGCTGGCGTCCTGATGATATTGGCCCGTCACGCTGATTATGGTGCCACCTCAAGATACAGTATCTGAATTCCAAGCTTCAAACTACTGCAAGCACGCGTTGGTTGACACCTTTACGCCGTCCCGAACGCACAGCATGCAGCAACGACACCCGGGCCTCTACCACAGTTTTGACGCCATACAATGCCGTACAAGGCGCGCTACCACTCTAATATCTTTAGAGAGTATATCTCGAGATTCAAGAACATTACACCTACCGATTGACGTCTCGCAGTGTTTTTGTAGCTAGAGAAGGGTCTGATTTAGGTATGCAGGATTCAGGCAAGGCAAACAAGCAGCCCACGTCGCATATGCATCCAGCCAATTCTCCGGTGTCGAGCCATAGACTGACGACCAAATAATCGATGACAGTAACACCAGACAGGGGATGCAGGTGGCCCTGGGTTGCATACATGACCGTATCCGCGCGTCCTTCCGGTCTCCACATGTAAGCATACAGCGTCCGAGGACGCGACGCGTTCTTGGTGGAACATGCCGCACCACACTGGCCTGTTGTGAGTGGGGGACCACAAATTCTCCATGACAGCGTTCTGAGTTGATTATCTCGGACTAGAGGTCGTTGCATTGTTCATGTCCTGAGAATAGGCAATCGATCATCCACCAACACTGACTGCTGCAGCATTACGGAGCTTCTTAACATTCACGGCGCCTCCAAGGCATTCGTCTTCTTTCATATGACGATAAGAAAGGCTTGAAGGGGCGCAAGCTCGGCGGTCGCGATACTTTTCGGCTTTTCGTGTCTGTGTCTGAACCGTGGACTTCCTCACGGTTTGTTATCGTTTTAATGCCATTCCCACCACTCTCTTTGTCTGCCTCAGGCAAGCCACCACTTCCTGTTACCGTTTTCAATTGTCCTCTCGAACGTCCTTCCTGTGACCTACGTCATGTTATTTGATGACTTCCAACCTCAGAATCATCTGCGCAACCTCGGTTGCCTTCCAGAATGTATGCTTTCCCTTCATACTGCTCAAAGAGGAAATTGCGCTAGTGTGTTGCGCAAATTTGACCAATCAACACTAAGCGCAAATCACGCTCACCTCGACTTCACTCCTCCCCAATCGGTCTGCGCGCACCTCGAGCTTATCAACATTGTAATACCCCAGGCTGTGACAATCACTACTCCATATTGATCTCAACAAGTCAACTTCCACTATTAACATCGGATCCATCATCACCACAAACATGAGCATCGACAGCGAGGCGAGCATAGCCCAAATCACCGACAGGGACGATACAAGCGATAGCTTGTGGCAGCATCCCAACACGCAAACGGCAAATGATGACGAGCAAACAAAGAAAGATGCATCCGGAGGCGACGGCGCTATTGCTGCTACACCAACTCCGCCGCGCGCGCCCAACGCCACCGACGCTACGAATGCTGATGGCGAAGCCAAGAAGGCTGAGTTCGTCAAGCGGTTCCAGGAGAAGCTCCGTCTTCAAGTAGAAGCCGAAAAGAAGGCAAGTGAAGCTACCGAGGAAGAGATCAAGGCCGCTGATGTCGAGAACGACACACCTGAAAAGAGTCCTGAAAACAGCGACATGGTCAATGGCGCGATTGCGACGCACAAAAAAAGGGTTGACTGTGCCAATGGGAAAGCGATGGAGTCCACTTCAGCAGTCAAAGTAAGTACGGGTTGTCCCGTGTCCTGGTGTCTGATTAACGCAATACCAGGCTCAGCGGAACTGCGCGGATGAGGTTCTCGGCTCTATGAGCGACATCGAAAAGGCTATGTTTCAGCTTTATGAATACATCAAGGTTCAGAATGATAGCAAGAAGCCGCTCTACATGTGGGCTACATTTGGTGGCTATAGCTCGGTCAACGTTGCGCTCCTTGACCTCCACGATAAGGCCATCGAGTTTGAGGAAGCTCATCGTTTACCCGTTGCCAACGCTAGGATATTGCTCAGCAGGGCCACCCAGATCTCCCTAGCGGTCAGTCAGATGGCTGTGTTCTGTATGGGCGTGATGGGAGATAAGGTTACCAGCTGTATCGACGAGGTTGAGGAGTCTGATCTCAGCGCCGAGGGTAAAGACAAAGCCAAGGCTCTCATCACAAAAGAGCTCAAGAAGCTTCTCAAAACTTGCGCGAAAGCAACAGATCGAGTCTATGTAGCGCTGGACCTGCTTCGGAGCTCACTACACGTCGAGGAATCCTCTCAGAACCTTGATATCTCAATCATCAAGGACCTGATTGCAGAGAGTACCCCACGCAAGAGCTGGTTGCGGAGTGTGACCGAGGTCGTTCTTAAAACAGTTGTGGGTGCTGCTGTCAGTATCGCGGCGGTGCAGTTTTACAGCACTAGCAGTTTTGACCTGGCATTGCAGACCAACCCTTTCGGCACGTACTCTCAAGTCATTACCCTCGTCCAGCGTGCCCAAGCTGTGACCAACCTTACAGGCGAGATCTATTCCATCAAGCTTGAGGATTTGGATCAGCGTTACAAGGAACTCGAAGCCGCCTCTGAATCGCATGGTCTCCGAATTGACAACCTAGTTGAAGCACTTGGTGTTCCTAACGCAGAAGGTACCTATTATTCGTCAATGCCAAAATCCGACTGCGAAGCTCCTAGCAGTATCCAGAAGATCTCTACAGACGCCGATCGCCAGATTCAACGACTGCGTAGCGAGCTGGCGGCTATGCGCAAGAACATCCATCGCATGGACATTCGCCTCATGAAGCGTCTCGATAAGGTCGACCGTCATGGTTCGTAGGAAGATATGAGTGATTCCGATTCTAGCTCATGGTAGTATAATCCAAAACTGCTGCCAGACCAAGACTCTCGGATGGGAGCAAAGAGCTATACTGCGCTTGGCTATTCCAGGAGTGCATAATCTCGACATGATGAACAGCTGGGCGCTCACGTATCTCAAGGGTGTGGACTTCTTCCGCATTGCCATTGAAGGGTAATGAGCGGACGAAAGGTCGTACGGTATTGAATCTGTTGCAAAGCAAATGATATACTTGGGCTCAAATTTATTTACAGTCCTCGCAAACAGTTCCATCTGGATTTCTCTTGACTTCTGCACCCTCGTTTGTCTGACCCTGTTCTTGCTTTCCCTCCAAGTTCTGCTTCTCATCTTCTGCCTTGTTTTCATTCTTCTTGCCATGTTTGTCCGAATGCCCCAGATCCCGATTAGGGTCTATGTGATCTCGTACTAGTTGCTTTAGTACTTTCGTCTCTGCGACATGTAAGCCACTCATCTTGCCACTCTCATGTCCCTAGGTTACGAACCTGGAAAACCTCCTTTAGCCTTTCTATCCCAAAGGAGCACTTTCTTTGCCTCTGCCTTTTGGCCTTCCTCAGATGGCGGCAAGTACGTCTATCAAACTTAGCATGGTTTAATGCAAACATTCGTTCAACCATACCAACTCAACTGTGAAGAGACCACCCGTCGCGGGTATCAGTGCTATCTCTCCAATTTGCAGTCCGAATGTTGATAAAAGTTCTTGGCCGAACTGGTCACTCATTAGTGGACGTCGTATTAGCGGAGGATGTGGAGAAAGGTACATAGGCTGCTCGCAACATCCACTTACATTGCGTGCAATACGTTATTGCGACGCGCGGTAGAGCGACTGGAGCAGTTTGGGTCGATGCCATAATTTGAGTCTGAGGTGTGTATATGCTGGGTTGTTCTTGCCATTTCCGAATGAGTTGGAGGAAAGCATGAAGGGTCGCTTATCGATAATCTGCCCGTGGCGTCATCGCGTGGCGTAATTATTATTGACGGTGTTCGCCACTGCTTCACTACCCGAGGATTGTGATTTTAGAGGTCAATTTGAATCGCATGGGGATTTCGAGCCTTTATGTTTGTCGAATGTGGAAGGTTTGGTTATGATGTTTGTTGTGCTGTGGCGCAGACAAGCCGGATCTTGGGCAGAGCGAAGATAGCCACATCAATAAGCTGTCCAATGCCTGTCGTGTGCAACGAGTACCTCTGCAGAGGCAACTCATCAATACACATTTGAGGTATTGAAAGGGATGCTAGTATACTCAGAGAGTTTGACTGATACGTAAGAGGGGGGGGCAGTTATTCCAAGGAGATGTACTTGAAGCATGTCTGGGATTGAGATACTAATAGCAGTGGAGTTGATCAGTCTGTCACTTCACGTACGCACTGTTTGACCACTCGTGTCCCTAGAACTAAGCGTGAAGGACACAACGGTCTGCCGAACAGCAGTTTTCTCATGGGAACTGCATTGTAGGCACCAGTGCGGATACACATTTGCTTGGCTCTATGAAGTGATCAGCTTAGTGTTCAGGCGCAAAGAGATGGCTGCAATACGACAGTAACTATTTTTTACCGTCGTATTTCGCACCAATCGCAACAAGGTCGTGCAGTACTCAGGAACGAAGATGCGAGTTTCGGTGTTTTCGGTGTTTCTCATCCCTGATCCGAGGGGGAGGTGCAGAAACGCGGGTTGCTAAGGCCGTGCGCTACAGGGTCCAATTGTTGCAATTTGCGGAGACGCTCCTTGACCTCACACTTCTCGCGCCCAAGAGACAGTTCAACCTGCCAGAGAAGTCGTGGTACTCGCTGTTTTCTCAATCCTGTCTTCTGTCGCCGAATTGGTCCGCGTCCTGCCATTATACCACCGGTTTCAAGCGATCTGTTAATACCCCCTCCATCCAAGACTCCTTTAACTTAGCCCATCATGCCTAGCCCTCTGAGCATGCTCTACTACGTGGTTCACCCCAACGAACTGCGGTCAATCATTCAATGGTAGGTAAAGGCGCCATCGCGTGCAGCCAGAGTTTGCGCAAACCGGAACACGGCTAATGCTTGGCTAGGAAAGTGTGGCATAACGCAGTACACGAGCGCGACGAATCGAAAGAATGCGAGTCCCTGAAACGATGCTTCCACTTCCTCAACAAGACCAGCCGAAGTTTCGCTGCCGTCATCCTCGAGCTGCACCCCGAGCTTCTGGTGCCCGTCACGCTGTTCTACCTAGTCCTGCGCGGTTTGGACACCATCGAGGATGACATGACGATACCCCTGGAGAAGAAGGAGCCTTTACTGCGCAACTTCCAGGACATTTTGGACAAGGATGGATGGAACTTCACAGAGAACGGCCCGAACGAGAAGGACAGGCAACTTCTGGTCGAGTTCAACGTGGTCATTGAGGAGTTCAAGAAGATCAAGCCTGTCTACCAGGATATCATCAAGGACATTACCAAGCGCATGGGCAACGGCATGGCAGACTACGCGAACAACGCCGAGTTCAACGCTGGCGTCAAGACCATCAAGGAATACGAGTTGTACTGCCATTACGTCGCCGGTCTGGTAGGCGAGGGTTGCACACGTCTGTTTGTTGAGGCTGGCTTAGCAAACGCTGCGCTGCTGAAGAGGCCAGAGCTGATGGAATCCATGGGCCAGTTCCTCCAACAAGTCAACATCACCCGTGACATCAAGGAGGATATTGATGATGGACGGCGATTCTGGCCTAAGGAGATCTGGTCAAAGCACGTTAATGAGTTTGAAGACCTCTTCAAGCCCGAGAACAAGCAGAAGGCCCTAAACTGCAGCTCAGAGATGATTCTAACTGCGCTGACCCGAGCAGACGACTGCTTGTACTATCTCGCAGGTCTCCGAGAGCAGAGTGTGTTCAACTTCTGCGCTATCCCGCAAACTATGGCCATTGCGACGCTCGAGACATGCTTCCAGAACTATGCTCTCTTCCAGAAGAACGTCAAGATCACCAAGGGTGAGGCATGCCAACTGATGGTTGAGTCGACACAAAATCTGCAGCTCGTCTGCGAAGTCTTCAGGAGATACGCTCGCAAGATCGCGAAGAAGAACAACCCCCACGACCCCAACTTCCTCAAGATCAGCATCACCCTCGGAAGAGTGAGTCATATAGATCCTGTTGAAGCCGCTGTTGCTAATCATGTTAGATTGAGCAATTCATCGAGTCAATATTCCCGACGCAACAACCACCAGTCGACAAGAAGGCACCTGCCACCATCGAGGAGGCGGAGCGGAAACGGAAAGAGGACTCCGAGGCCAACTGGGACTTGGTCTACATTGTCGCCGCCGTTGTTGGTACAGTTCTGGTCATCACATTCATCATGGTATGTATCGCAACTACGTTACTTCCAACGACCTCTAACAAAATTTAGCTCTTTGTCGCCTGGCTCGCGGGTGCGCGCTTCGACATTGCCTACACTCAATTTAAGCTGGAGTTTGGCAAGCTGATGGGAGTGATGGGACTCGACAAGACACCCGAGGTGGTTACAGAGGTCCACGAGACTCTGAACAAGAGCGAGCTATGAGCGTCTCACGTTTACATGTATTATGCAGGCGACATTCAGCCATTTGGGAAACTGGGCATATAACAATTACTAATGTATACTTTTCGCGCCATGCTGCGGCACGATTACAATGTGAGCGTGATGTTTGTAGCACGGATGTCAAATTCCAACTCTGCTCTTTCATAGCTGAGGTTGGGCCGTAGATGTGCTTATATTGAAACGCGTTTTGCTCGGCGACGAGGCTGTTTAAGAGGAAGTTTATCATGAGCTCCCTTGACAGCAGTAACGTGGACACGAAAAAAAGTAGCTAGTTGTAAAGTTAGTTTTGCCATGACATCAACCGGTTGCTTCTTTATGCTCTCCGTGTTACAGTTTGAAACGGGACCTAGCGCGAGGTACGTGCCAAGCAAGCCTAAAGGGTCCCACGAATTGCCTTGCGACTGCACGCATATTCTTCCCCGACAGACACGCCCGCCGCAAACAGTCACCTCTCACTTGTCCTTTCTCTTATCCGACGCAAGAAAGGCAGCGCAACCCCGCGACTCCTCCCGTATAATCGCCTGGTGCGATTGCGACAAGCCCCGCCTTCACCTGATTCCGCCCACCACCAACCGCCAAATTACCACACGACTGCAACCATCGCTTGTAGTCCCTCTTTTACCAAAGGCAACCTCCATATCCACCCCCACAACACCCCACAAGCACATCGACAATGGCCGAAGTCGCATCAGCACCGCAGCCCAACCAGCAGGTTCCGCTGGACACGATCCCCATCTCGCCAACTGAGAACTCCGCCGAGGGCGAGGAACAGTCTTCCACCAACAACGCCGGAGGCGAGGGCGAGATCCGCACCGTCTTCCACGACCCCGAGAACTTCAACGTCAAGCACCCGCTCATGAACACATGGACGCTCTGGTTCACCAAGCCCCCGAGCGGCAAGGTACGACATTGCTCCGTCTTGGGCGTCGATTGTTCCATGCTAACAACTGCAGGGCGACAACTGGGCCGAACTGCTGAAGGAGGTCATCTCATTTGACTCAGTCGAGGAGTTCTGGGGTATCTACGTAAGTCATGTTCCAATATCAGCAACAACGGGCAAAGCTGACATCGCACACAGAACAACATCACCCCCACATCCGACCTTGCGCTCAAGTCCGACTACCATCTCTTCAAGAAGGGCGTACGACCCGAGTGGGAAGACGCGCAGAACAAGCACGGAGGCAAATGGGCCTTCCAGTTCAAGGACAAGAAGGTCATCAACATCGATGCGCTCTGGCTCCATGTTATGCTCGCTGCCATCGGAGAGAACCTCGAGGACGAGGACGACAATGAGGTCATGGGTGTCGTCGTCAACGTTAGGCGAGGCTTCTACCGTATCGGTCTGTGGACCCGCACAGTCGGCCGCGCTATCCCCGGCGAAGGCGGAAAGGGCAGGACCCAGGAGAAGGGCAAGGAGGTTTTGTTGAAGATTGGCAAGCGGTTCAAGCAGGCGCTTCAGCTCAAGGAAAACGAGGCCGTCGAGTTCTCTGGTCACACTGATGCTGCCAACGCCGGTAGCACCCGTGCAAAGGCCAAGTTCAGCGTCTAAAAAGCTCCGGCACACTTCCGAGTCTGCAACACCATGCTTGCTTTTTGCAACATCCTCCGTCGTCCTCGGACACACGGCGCACTCCACCCTCGACTGCATTTTCTCGATTTGTCTCCAGTTTGGTCTAAAAGTATCCCACTTAACGGTTCATGATACACGGACTGAAATTCTAGCATGGCGTCTGCATGGGGCGGCGAAGGGTGATATTGGGTTCTTCAAATGAATCATATGGCCATGGCGGGTATACCTCGAACGGGTGGGGTTCTGAGCTTGTATAGACCAGCTCTCTTATCTAGCATATCTATGAATAAGAGTATATGAATTTGACAACCCCGTAAATTCTCTTTCGCATCTTGTGAACGACTTGTAACATTCACCTGCCGAGTATGGTTCACCCACGTGTGATGGATGGACTGTCAAGGGTATTCGGATGTTTTTAGCGTGGTGACGTCGGCTGTGGCGGTGCAGCATTTTCACAGGCATGTGTAGCCTGCCGACGCGCGCCCAACGCATATACTCTTGATCGCTCCCACCACTCACCCCAAGTCCTAGATATTCGCAACCATGGTCGTGGAAACCGCATACTACGACGCCCTCGGCGTACCGCCCACCGCGACGGAGCTCGAAATCAAGAAGGCGTACCGCAAGCTCGCTATCAAACTGCACCCCGGTATATTGCGCAACGACTTTCTCCAAAGCCTCAAGGACTAATTCCGACGCAGACAAGAACCCTGGCGATGAGACAGCACACGCGAAGTTCCAAGAAGTACGTTGATTTACTCATGAGTAGAGGATATGGCGATCCTGTTCGATACTCCACCAGGATTGCGGGGCTGACGGGGTGACAGATTGGCGAGGCGTACCAAATACTCAGCGACGACCAGCTGCGAGCAGCATACGACAAATATGGCAAGGAGGGTGCGATGCCTAGCAGCGGATTTGGTATGGATATACACGTGGTGTAGTAATGGTTGCAGAACGCTAACAGAGGCACAGAGGATCCATCCGAGTTCTTCACCATGATCTTTGGTGGAGAGGCTTTCGTGGACTGGTAGGACAACACCATGGCTCATTACAGCAATGTCTGTATGCAGAAGAGAGACGCTGACACTCATAGGATCGGCGAGATCTCGTTGATGAAGGACCTGACCAAGACCATGGAGATCTCCCAGCGTGAGATGGAGGAAGAAGCCGCCGCCCAAGCAGAAGCCGAAAAGGTCGAGGCCGAAAAGACTCCTGCGACTGCCACAGCTGGCGCTACCCCGGCTGCCGGTACCACAGAGACCACAGCCCCAAGTGCTGCTGCTCAGGCCAAGGAAGCTGAAGCAGCAGCGGAGCGCGCAGGAGCACACGCAGCAGATGCACCACCACCTGTGTACGCTGAGGCGCCCCCAGCATATGCTGAGAACACTGCCGAATCGTCTACTGCACCGAGAGCAGCATCGCCCCCGTCCCGAACGAGCACGCCGCAATCACGAGGCATACCAATCCGCGCAGCCATCATGGACAAATCGGAGGAACAGGCACGTATGGAGGCGGAGGGCATGACCGATGCGGAGAAAGAGCTACGTGAGAAGCAGAAGAAGAAGGCCGGTCTCACCAAGGAGCAGCGGGAAGAGCTCGCGGCATACGAGATGGAACGCAAGAAGATCCGTGACGAACGTGTTGCCAACCTCGCCAAGAAGCTCATCGATCGTATCTCGGTGTGGACTGAAACCGACAAGGCGACCGATGTTACCGCAGCCTTCAAGGAGAAGATTCATCTGGAGATCGAGAACCTCAAGATGGAATCTTTCGGTCTTGAGATCCTCCACGCCATCGGTGCCACGTACATCATGAAGGCCTCTTCATTCCTCAAGTCGCAGAAGTTCCTCGGTATCTCAGGCTTCTTCTCCCGTATCAAGGATAAGGGCACGCTCGTCAAGGACACCTGGTCCACCATGTCTGCAGCGATAGACGCGCAGCTTACTATGGAGGAAATGGCCAAGCTAGAGGAACAGGGCGGAGAAGCCTGGACAGACGAGAAGAAGGCTGAATATGAGAAGCGTGTTACTGGCAAGATTCTCGCTGCGGCCTGGAGAGGCAGCAAATTCGAGATTCAGAGCGTACTTAGGGATGTATGCGACTCCGTTCTCAACGATAAGAAGATCAAGCTGGAGAAGCGAGTGGAACGAGCACACGCGCTGATGATTATCGGCGAGATGTTCCAAAAGGTACGCTCTTTGTCTTACGCGTGGATGATATGGATGCTAACTAGATGTAGGCCGAGCGCGATCCCGAAGAAGAAGGCGACTTCATGGCATTCGAACAACTCATGGCCGAAGCCGCAGCTAAGAAGGATGCAAAATCAGAGAAGCATCACCACCATCACGACAAGAAGGAAAAGGAAAAGAAGAAGGAGAAGGCATGAGGTTGAGTAGTCACCTCTCTGCAATCTTTTCTCACTCTTTGCATACCCCTCTCTTCTTTTTTTCGTTTCGTGATATCCATAGATTCTTTTCCCTACGGGGTGGACACCCGCGCACTGCTAAGGTGCGCGATGGCCGGTTTGATGATACAGCATGTTGGAGAGAGCTACCATGGGCGTGGGTGGAACGGCATTAAGAGTTGGTTTGGACTGAGCATGTAGCGAGCTTTATGGGTTACATTTGAAAGTATACGTGATATTCGGCTCATATGCCTTCAGATCGCTCATTGGAAAAGTGATGATAAAGACGTCTGTGATTCAGACATGATTCATAGATGATCAAACGCTATGCCTGTCCGAGTGACTTGTCGATGGACCTGTCGTATCGTATTGTCCGCGGTGCTCTGCTACTGCGAAGAAGCCCGTTTTCTCCGGATGTTAGCGCTACATTGTAGTCGGCCTGACACGGTGTTCTGAATAAACGTGCTACCTCGTACTCCAGGTTCCCGCAGGTTGGCCGATGACCATGACGTCACAGTAAGCCTCGCTATGTTGAGCTATGTTGTCCTCTTTTGAGACACGACCCTCCTGATTTTCGCGAGCTGATCGTCGAACGGTTTGTACTGATGCAGCTGATGATTGGCGGTGCAGGCACATGAAATTATTGCTACTCTGGAGTACATCAGGGACCCTGCCAAGTCCCACAGGCTGTCCACGAGATAGTGCACCAGAATTTTCGGTCCCAAGGTCTGGACGCGTGCAACCTGACCCCACGATACACTATTTTTAGGCCTGGAATGATGGTCCAGATCGTATTCCGCTTCACACCATGATGCCGATTTGTTCAAAGCTTCGACGCGAAATGTTCTTTCAGCGAGCGTTTGACCCACACTAAGCGGCGGGAATGACGTCGCTCGGCGGCGATGCGCGGAAAGAGCATTCTAGTACTGTGACATCGTCCCAACAAAGAAGTCCGGGGGATCGTTACGCGTACCTCGTTAATCGGCGTAAATCTAAGCTTCTCTCATAATCACTTTGTTTTCTTAGTTATTCTTTTTTACTCTGTTATCCAACCACACAACGTCATTTTTACTATTCGCTGCCATTTCCGGAACGTTTTCGGACATCAACTACTGAGTACATTCGCTTGAAGAGGGGGGTTTCCAGTATGGATGTTTGGAGGCGACAGAATGGCGAAAGTGGTACTGATAAGTTTCTCGACCTGATTGCAGATCCGTTCCAGGGTGAAGTAAGTACAAACACATGTTGCGTCGAACCCTTGCGAACATCATACTTACCCATATTTCAGATCCAAGAGAACTCGATTTACGCCGCTATTGTATATTCCTTCGTTATATCCGGGCTACTAGTCGTTGTATTCTGCTTTCTCCGACCACGCAACTCGAGAGTCTATGCACCACGAGCGAAACATGCCGATGAGAAACACCGACCGAAACAACTGGACAAGAAGCCGTTCAGTTGGTTGGATGCAGTCAAAAATGTGAAAGAGCAGGAATTAGTGGACACTATCGGTCTGGATGCGGTCGTCTTCCTACGGTTCCTTCGAATGATTCGGGACATCTTCATGGTGTTGACAGTGGTGGGTGTAGGCATTCTGATACCTGTCAACGTCGTAGGAGGCTCGCCGCTTTATAAGCAGTGGAAAGAGATACCGACCCTGATGAAGTTTACGCCGCAGTACATATTTGGAAGGAAATTCTGGGCTTACGTCGTGGTGGCGTATCTGATCCAGGGTGTTGTGTGTTTCTTCCTTTGGTTGAATTACAGAGCGATTCTAAAACTTAGGCGTGCGTATTTCAACACTCAGGAATACAAGTCTAGCCTGCACTCGCGAACGTTACTGGTAAGTCTTGTCACTGTAGTCAAGAAACTTAGCTAACATCAAAAAGCTTACACACGTTCCCGAATCATCGCGAACGGATGCCGGGCTTGTCGAGCTTGTCGAACAAGCCAAGTCAATCGATACCATCCCCCGGACAGTGATCGGTCGCAATGTTAAGGATTTGCCAAAGCTTATTGAGGCGCATGATGACGCTGTCCGCCAACTCGAGAAGCACTTGGCGGAGTACCTGAGCAACCCGAACAAGCTGCCCGCCAAGCGTCCTACGTGCAAAGCCACGAAAGACGATCAAGCTGTGCATGGCAAAGGGAAACTCGATGCGATCGACTACCTGACGGACCGAATCGCAAGGTTGGAGACAACGATCAAGGAAGTACGAGAAGGTGTCGACATGCGAAATCCCATGCCCTATGGATTTGCATCCTACGCGCACATCGAAGATGCTCATGCGGTTGCGTATGCGACGAGGAAGAAGGGCCCTGCTGGTTGTGACGTCTACCTCGCCCCCAAACCCCATGACCTCCTTTGGCAGAACCTTCCGATGACACGAAGGACTCGCAGAATACGTGCTTTCTGGGATGGTCTATGGGTAGTGCTGTTCACCATTGCTTTCGTTGTTCCTAACATCTTGACATCCGTCTTCTTGTCAGACTTCTCCCACTTGGGGCTTGTATGGCCAGCGTTCATGACGAACCTTCAAGCCCACCCGACAGGTTGGGCTATTGCACAGGG